AGGGAAAAGAAAAAAAAAAGACAAAAAAATTTCTGTTATAAGGGGTTTCATTACTGAAAGAAAAAATAGATACTCTAATTTCTGTAAAATTTGTGTTTGGTGTAGAAAGAAAAATAAATGAAAATTTCAGAATTCATGAGCCACTATGATTTCAATTTACTTGTCGAGAGCCTTCAAATATTCTTCGCTTTGATATTAATTTCTCAACAACCAAACAGAGCTATTAATTTATTGAATTACACAAGGGTAAATTACAAATACACCTCCTGAGGTTTACTTAAAATATGAATTGTCCCCTGTGGTTTGGAAAATTACAAATATCTCCTTGTCAGAATTTTTTATTTAACAGTATTAATTGAAAAAGTAAAATTTCTAACTGTTCACCTATACAATAATAAAATTATCTGAATTACTAATTGAAATAAAATTTAATATTATTAAAAAATGTTAATTAACTTGATGATTTATTATTTGTTATGAAATTAGAAACCTTAAGGAGCATAATGTAATTTTTAAAACCACAAGGGATAATTTGTAATTTAAGTAAACATCAGGGTGTGTTTGTAATTTACCCATTAAATAAATCTGAAATACACAAGTGGTGAAGAACAGATCTAATGCTTCTCTCTCCTTCATTTCTCAGATCGATCCAGTTGCTGTATAGAGATGACATAAATTTGAGACGTATATACACACAGATATATACATATATATATCATGGCGACGACTCTGATCTGAGATCTGACATCGATGTAGAAAGAGAAACGGTGTACACCAACTCCGTCACCCTCTGTCGCCCTTTCTCCAACTCTCACCATCCCTGATTAAAGCACCATGGCGGCAAGATCATCATGGTGAAAAAAGAGAAGAGAAGCTGAATAGAGAAGAGAGAGAGAGAGAGAGAGCAAGAGCGAGGTTGTTTAAGGTGGCAGCGGTTGTACCGACGGCCGGAATGGAAGGGGAGATGAAATGAAGCAGAGGATGTGAGATCTAGAGAGAGGAAGAGGTGGTTTTGTGGAATGTGTATATCATATCTATATATGGAGGGTATTTTAGCCATTTAACTTAAGCATGTCTTATGACAAATTGTTTTAGCATCTGAACCTTTGACCAAAAAAAATCTAAATTTGGATCTATGGTCCGAGTTCCCCTATATTTATATGGGGCCTTACCTAGGGATAAGAAATGAGTCGAGCAATTAATTGTTCAAGTTTGGTTTGATAACTTTAACAAGTTTCAAAATTTATTTGAGCTTGGTTCGTTAAACTTTCAAGAAGATTTCAAATGAGTTTTTGTCGAGTCGATCTCGAGTAGTTTGATATTTTTATGTAATTTTAAACTTATCAAACCGAGTCAAATGAACAATTGACTATTCAAGCTTATTTTGAAAATGTTAGCGAGCTCCAAAATGTGTTCAAATTTGGATTGTTTATTTAACGAACTAAGCTTGAGCGAACTTTTAACGAATCAAACACAAGTCGACCTCAAACTATTGAATTCATTTATCACCCATAACCTTACCCATTATTAAGGAATTTTGTGCAATATAACAACATATATTATTAAGAGTCTAAAAAATTTGGGACTTTCTCAAATACAAAGCCTTAGGTTAGGCTTATCTAACTTGTTTAACGACGGATCATTATCAATCACACATACGTTAATATATATATATATATATATATATGTGTGTGTGTGTGTGTGAATTATGTATGGTATAGGATGTTGTATAAAATGTATATTTAAATAAAAATAGGGAAATTTATATTTCATTAACTCGGATTACAGAAGATGAAATCATAAAACTAATTTGGAACTGGATATTACAATTCTATGAATAGAAATAGAAAACAAAAATATGCTGGAATAAAAAGACAAATAAAAATAAGACAAGAAATGCAAATCAAAGTCTGTGTAACCACAGTTTTCTTAAAACAGATTTGCCACCTCACCGTAGGTGCTGGAGATATACTGGCGTCTGTCTCCCAAGATACGACTGTCAAAACCAACTAAGCAGAAGCACCTTCTGTAAAGTTTCGGTGAATTTCAACAATGAACTCTCTCACTCTAAAAAGAATAATATATGCAAACTGACAATATAGCTAGAGAGAAAAAATTCTATACACCATACCAAAGAGGGTGGTCTCTATTTATACACAATGGGGGAAAGAGGAGGAGCCTTCCAGCCATGAAAGCTAGCAACAAATGCAGGAATAAACCTGCAAAACTGATGAACTAACATAGAAATGAATTCTGCAAAACTGATGGAATAAGTGTAGAGGTTTCAACTTATATATACATGTTACAACCTATATACACACATGTGTGTGTGTATATTCATATCAACAACCACCACAATCTAACCTAAGTCAAAAAAAGATTAGGTTGATGGGCCTCAAGCCTTAAGCCCAAAATCCAAGATCCACAATTCACGGATCACAAACTCGACCCGGTCCCGACGAGAAAGCAGTATGCACTTGCGTGTGGCATTTTTTTACATAACCAACTTGGACCATAGTTTTGACCCAAGTCCATCCTTGAAGCATCCATAACTCCCTTTTTTCGAAAAATTTAGATTCTTCAAGTGGCTCACACCCTTGTCAAAAACTTAGGATTTAAATTCTCATCAATTATTTCCTCTACAATCAATATGGAATATGTGGTTTACACACCATTCTCAACACCTCGTTCATGAGACCAACTTTATGAGACAATTTCGCATTCAATTCTTAATAGTTTTTTGTCATTGTTTTTGTGTAAAAGTCTTATTACAAACAATATAAACCCATTTCATCCCACCTCAACCGATGGTTGGAACCCACTTTAATTTTATAATAAAGTCACCATAAAACTATTTTTCCAACTGAGGAACAACTATTATTGCCACTCCAAAGCATAAGTCATACATGTTTGTAACATTACATACTAGTACTTAATTCTTCTAATAAACATTTGAATAACAAAGCTCTATGATAACTTATTGGTGTTCTCAACAAAAAATCTAAGATGGACAAGGATTATGTGTATATATATATATTATGTGTATTGTCAGGACCCAAACTCGGTACCCGGAGGTTCAACGTTGCGACAAGATAATAACTGAAGTCATAACAAATTAATAGTGTAGCAGAGTAAAATAAAAGGGTACCCAAATCTTCATTTAAGTATAACAAAAATGTGTACATTGGAGTTTCTATTCGATTGCAATACCAGAGTTGTATTATGACTACAAAGTACCTTCTGACTACCCCATGCACTGGTTTTGATACATCACCTGAAAGTGATTAACAGCTATAAGCACATGGCAGAGTGAGAAATATTATACTGTGAGCATGAGGGTACAAAAATCACCATGGATAATTATTTCAGCTAAAACAGTAACGTAACTTAATTTGAATAAACAAATTATTCAAGGTGGCAGAAACTGAAATACAGAAATTATGTAAATAAATAGCCATAACCACGGTACAGAACAGAACAGAATAGAGGTCACTGGAGTGACAATCAAAACAGAGGTCAATGGATCCATGACAAACAGAGAACCACAAAGTGGTCAAACAGAGGCCAATAGTTATTTAAGTCCCCCAAGACATGGGACTCCCGTGGTGGTACTTACAGAAAATAATTGTTTATAAAATCATTGTCAAATAATTTTTAAAATTTAAACAAACATATCCATGGGTTTCAATATAAGCAAATAGAGTTCAGAAAATAATTAACGTAATTGAAATATAAATATAAGTTATAAAACATAACTTCTATAAAAATAAATTATGGTAATTCAAAATATATGTAAAATATATTATGGTAACTCAATGTATAATATAACTCACCTTAATAGTGATTCCTCACTCTTACTTTCCACTGTCAAAGATCGTTTTACCTAATAGTTACCTTCGGCAGTATGCTTTCCCTTTATTATTTGTTTTTTTCCCTTTTTCTCTTGATCTTCAGCAAATCCAAGCAAACCCTCCATTTTATACCTGAGCTTTGGTGACGACTCATCCCTTAATCATCACCCTAATTGGTGATTCACTTCTCCTACTTACTTAGCCTTCACAGGTGGCCTAATCACAAGCTTCCAGCCAACTTGCATACCTTTCCTTATATTCTTACTTGGCCCCAATTAGTATCATAATGTCATAGTTGTTTTGATTTGGCCCCAAACAATATATTAATCATACTTTTGATGACCTAATGCCAAATTTAATTACATCTTTAGCATGTATAGCTATGTATTATTATCATTATTTATTTATTTATTTTGTTTTCTTTTTATAACTTAATCAACTCCAATTCGGACCCAATTAATAAAATTTCAAATTTACTAAACTGAATCGAATATTTAATTAAACTTTCATATGGTCCGATACTCAACATTAAAATAATTCAATTCGTCAATTTCACTTTATTGAGAATTCCACAATTAAATTAGAATAAGAATTAATTAAATGTAAAATATTATACGCGGTGTAGTCCTTACATGTATACTTCAATGCTTGTTATTTAATAGTGGTAGCACATCAAATGTTGAAGTTATACTGCTATCTAAAAATGTTCCTGTTGAGGTTGAAGCAGCATCCCAGGCCTCGATTAGATCAGTTGTATTATATTCAACCTCTTCATAGTGTTGGTGAATCGTCGAATCTCCTTGTGATATTCTAATTCCTTCCAACTCAATTGCAACATCCTTCATTGTAGGCCTCTTCTTCCCATTCAAGTTTAGACATCTTTTTGTGAGGTAAGCAACAGCAATAATCTTTTCTCTGCGACCCTCTTTGAGAAGTCGGGGATCAAGAATCTCAAGTAGACGATTTTCCTCTATTGATTGCATAAACTGACTGACTAAACTCCTACTTTCTTGGGTTCCAGATATTGGTTTTTGCAAATTTAAAACCTCAACAATAACAACTCTGAAACTATATATGATCATTATTAATGGACAGATCATTATTAATCACTCATACTTACATTAAAATACATACACATGATCACCTTTATTAAAATGAACTATGTATATAATAAACTATTAATATTGCCAATCCAAAGCATAAATCATACAAGTTTGTAGCTTTGCATACTGGTACTTAATTATTCCAACCAACATTTCAGTAACAAATCTTTATGGTAAATTATTAGTATATTCTCAAGCAAAAAATCTAAGATGGACAAGCATTATATATATATATATATATTATGTTTGTATGTGTATACTTCACGACTTGTTATTCAATAGTGATTGCACTTCAAATGTTGAAGCTATACTACTATCTGAAAAAGTTCCAGTCATGGTTGAAGCAACATCCCAAGCCTCAGTAAGGTCAGTTGCATTGTATTCAACATCTTCATAGTGTTGGTGAATTGTCGAACTTCCATGTGACATTCTAATTCCTTCCAACTCAACTGCAACGTCTTTCATTGTAGGCCTCTTCTTCCCATTCAAATTTAGGCACCTTCTTGCGAGGTGAGCAACATCAATCATCTCTTCTCTCCGGCCCTCTTTGAGAATTTGGGGATCAAGAATCTCAAGTAGACAATTTTCCTCTATTGATTGCATAAAATAACTGACTAAACTCCTACTTTCTTGGGTTCTAGTGGAAGAGATTGGTTTTTGCCCAGTTAAAAGCTCAACAATAACAACTCCGAAGCTGTAAACATCACTTTTATCAGTAAATTGGCTTGATTGAAAGTACTCTGGATCTAAGTACCCCAAAGTCCCCTGTACTCGTGTGGTCAAATGAGTATTATCAACATCAATTGATGTTGAAGTTCCAAAGTCAGAAACTTTTGCTTTGTATTTTTCATCCAAGAGTATGTTGGTTGACTTCATGTCTCGATGATAGATGGGTATGGACGCCGCATAGTGTAAGTAGCAAAGAGCTCCAGCAACTTCTGTGGCAATCCGAAAGCGCATCTCCCATGATAGTGGGAACTCCATGTTTGGATCATGAATATGTTGAGAGAGTGTTCCATTTGGGATGAACTCGTATATTAGCAGAGGAACGTCTGTCTCTAAACAACAACCCAAGAGCTTGACTATATTCCTATGGACAATTTGTGAAAGAATGACGACCTCATTGATGAATTGCTCAACTTGTCCTTCGTCGACAACCTTAGACTTTTTAACAGCGATGATTCTCCCATCTGACAACATGCCTTTGTAAATAGTACCTGTTGGAAAATTAATTGAAAGTAAGTGGTTGATTTAAAAAATTAAAAACAGTAAACAATGAACAAATCTTATTGAAATTAGAGAAAACAAAAATCATAAATTTCGCTTGAAATAAAATCATGGATTTATGAAATAGCATGACTACTAAATTATGGTTAAATTAATTAGGAAAGATTGTATTTGATTTTTCAATAAAAATATTATGACAAATATTGACTCATTCGCACTCACCACGCTATATACAAGTCCAATAAATGTGTCTGTATGTATATATAGATATACACACACCCTATGCTTACTTTTGGCCTAAAACATTCGTAGTGCCCTCATATTCTTGACCCTTATCCAACTCAAAGAAGGATCCATGTATAAAAGGTCTCAAGATGTTTGGTAAGAAATCAATGCAAGATAAGAAATTAATTGTAAGCTTTAGATAATGAAAGGATAACAAAATTGTACCTTGGCCTCCTTGGCCGAGAATACGATCTTCATGGTAATGATCAGTGGCTTTCTCCAACTCCTCCGAATTAAACAATTTGACTTTTTGACTGCCATCATTTGAAGATAACTTGTGTTGTAACAAGAAACCACCATTTCGCTTGAAGAAATTTTCCTTGCGTTTCTTCATTACTTTGTACAACCACCACCCAGAAGCAATATATAAAAACAATAATCCTACTAATCCAGCATAAGCACCTGTAGAAAACTCAACTCCAGAATAAATATATATAGAACCAAAATTAATATTTGAATATCAAGTCTAGCAAAAATTTTAATTGTTTTCTAAATTTTATAAAGTCTTGTGTAATTTATAAAAAAGCATTCATAAAATGAAATGGATGGTATATATATAATGTTGTGTGGACTTACTCAAAATGCATCAACTCTGTACACTTTTTTTTCCTGAGTACTAACAAATTTATTAAAAATTTATCCTTACATATAAAATAACAATAAAACTGGAGATTTTTTCCTAAACAGAACTTATGTTGAATTATTTGGATACAAAATTTGAAAGAAAGAAAAAAAAGAGAGCTGATTTTAAGCTCTATCAAGATTATGGTTGTCAAAAGCAATTGCATAATATTTATTTGTTGAAACAATAACATTAATTTATTAGAATTATTTATTTGTTTGTGATTTAAAAAGTTTAAATTAAAAAATTTATTAATAATGAATGATAAATTATCAAATTAAGAATAATGCTAGAGATTCTAAAAATTTTATCAAATTTTGTCTCACATGGGTGTGGGTCTCACACCCATGTGAGACATTTGGTAAAAAATTTGGTAAAATTTTTGAGATCTCTAACATTTTTCATTTTTTAAACATAAATTTTAAACAAGTTTTAAATCAATACTCCAATCAATATTTCTAATTTTCAAAAATTATTAAAAATGAATGATAAATATTGATAAGAGTACTTTTTTTTTAACAAAAATTTTAATCAAGTTTTAAAATCAGTAATGACTTAAAAGCAGAGAGGAAAAGGTAGAGTAATACTGTAATAAAATTATTGGGCGGATCCATACGAGGCTTTGTTCTTATTTTAATTGAGCTCTTTGTTAGTGAACAGTGGAATTGATCTCCAAATTAGTTAATCCATTAGGTCAGATACTGAGTTATCTGGGGGGAAAAAAATTGTACTAGAGGATAATGGGCATATTTTGTGCAATTTTTTGAAAGTTGAAAATTGATAAACAAAAAGCCAAACAGGCATGTCTCCTTCTTCTGAAGTTGAAATTAGATCAATTTTGTGTCTAAATTGAAACCCCGGAACTAAACTTTCTAATGGTTATAGTCGCACATCAAAATTCAAAACGTGGAGAAAGCAATGAGTAAAAGAGTGTAGACTAATCAAAAATAAATATTTGAATTTGGAGTTTTTACTGGAGGGTGTTGTTCGGGCCGTGAGGGTCACCACGGATCTCATTCTAATGATCCGAACTGTTTGTTTTGTTGGGTAATTTGTGCATATCATACACGTAAAAAATTAGATCGCTCTGATAATTATAACCTATTCAATTTATTGCATTTGTTACATACAAAAAAAATGATCTATTTTTAAAAACACAATCACAGTCTATTTTTTTGGTAACAAACATGATAAATTGAATAGAATATGATTATCAAATTCACTTAAATTTTTTGTGTGGATGAAATACACAAAGTGCACGACACAATGAACGGTTGGGGTTATTGAAACGGAACCTGAACAACATCCTACAATCCAGATTATGGACTAGAGAGAATCCACCTCTAAATATATTTATGTTCTTGTTTCTTTGTAATCAATTTTATTTTTTTAAAATTTACTTAAATTAATTTTATTTCATAGATTATATATAGAAATTATACCAAATACTGCATCATAAAATTATAAAAATAAAATAAAATAATTTGTAAAGAGCTTCATAAATTATACCAAACAATCCCTCCATTTCTACGTTTTTAAACACTTGGAAGAAAAATGAGCTTACCATTGATAATACCCGTATTTGACGTGGACGTATCTGCATACAATTGCAATATCAGAAATTGAAAGCAATTATCAACCAAAAAACAAACTTCACAAATTACCAGACAATAATCACTCCAATAATAGCCTTGTTGATAAACCAGATTAATAGTGAATGGATTAATAATCTCATGCATTAGTATAAGATTAGTTATTTAATTAAATTAGTGAGATAACTGTGGGTGTTGATTTCCAACCATATAACCAAACGGGGAACTCAACTGGAGAGCACCGGCAGAATAGATTAAACCCAACAACCTGCACAAGGAGATGAGAATCCGGCGGTGGTTCATCCACCCGGGGGCACTCTTACGACCAAGTTAGTAAACAATATCTCTCAAAGGTAGCAAATAGTGCTTAAATTCACCAGAAAGAACTTACCTCAGGCCCATGAGGGTGCTTGACTTGATCCCTTTAGAAGCCTCACTTCAATGGACTCATGCTCAATGCTCATCCTGGACTCTCAACTAGATAGGGATAAACTCTTCATGAGCCTTATCCTTATCCTAACTGAGACCCTCCCCTGTTCTAGGACTCTTGTCCTTTATCCAAATATTTCAGACTCCGACATCTCCGCAGATAACCTCGGCCTAGCCGAGATTATCTCGGCAACATAATCAGATCACGTGGCACCTCAGCTGGCACTTCGGTGTCACCTTGGTCATGTGTTGTTATTCACAAAATATGTCCCCACAACTATCCCTAGGTTCTATTACCTCGGCAACCTGAGGTGATGGAACCTACATCGTTTGTCCACATTATATGTCGGCTAAAAATTCATTCTTCTCTTTGACCGAGATCATGATTCATCGACTCCATTTAATCAGGACTCAGCTGTCCACTTTACTAAGGATCAAGAACCAAGAATCAAGTTCTTTAAGCATTTCAACCGAGATCGCTCCTCTAGCCAAGGTTACAACCCCATTACTCAAGAATTTCAAGAGTTCTAACTGCGCATGAGCTATCATGCACAGTCTTTTCAACTGTTTCCTCCATGTGTCCCTTCTCCACTGGTTCATACTCGACACGCGCTAGCAGGCCACGTCATTTCTATCTGCGCTGCCTGACAAGCACGTCATCCAAGGCACTTCATTGCATTTTTGCCGCCTTTTCAATTTTTAACAAAACTCTCTCTCTCTCTCTCTCTCTCTCTCTCTCTCTCTTCATCTTCTCACTTTGCAAATTTGATTTCCTTTTTGTCTCAGATTTTCTCTCTCTGCGAAAACCACAATTTTCAAACCTTCGAAGCTCTACAACCGTGCTCCGTTCCAACCAAGGGCATTGTTTGACTCTGGTGAGCATTGTTCGGGCATCATTTCCTCGATTTTACTTGGTAAGTTCTCTAATTTCTTCTTTCTACCTTCGACTCTTTACTGTCCCTTGAGCATGTCATTGTTGTGCAATATCTCTTGCTCTTAGATTTGCCTTGCATTGTATCTGTAATTACTCTTGTATTGTTATTAAATTTATATCCGTACTCATAATCTATTTTTCGTCATTATAAACAAAATCTCGCTCTTGAATTGGTTCTATGCTGTTCAATTTGTCCCTGTGTCTATATAAACTGTTCGTGGCTCTTGCACACACCTATGCATTATTTATGAATTTTTAACTTTCCACGTTCTTGAATCTCTGTTGCTTTCTTGATTCTGAATCATGTTCCTTTATGTTTTCTTAGTGCATTTTCCAGATTCTTGCCTTGCATAGACTTCTAGGTTTGAGATTTGACTTAGAAATCTTTACAGTTTAGGAAAACTAAAATGAAATCATTCCCTTGATCTCCGAAAACCCTCACCCTAGTGTTCAATCCTTTACCAAGCTACTTACCAAAAATCTGCTACCGAACCCACTTTAGCCGAGATAATAGGTATGTTTAGGCGGAGAGTAGACACCCCTGCCAAGCTATAGTACTTTAGGCAAGAGTTCTTCATTCCAACTGACGTTCAGATCAGGTTGGCTAGAAAGGAGGACTTTATCATGCCTAATAGGGACTCCATGTTATTCCCTAAAGTAGCGTTCATTGAGTGTGGACTTCGACTTCCCTTAGACATCCTTTTTAGGGAAGTCCTCCATTATTATAAACTCAACCCATGTAACTAGTCATCAACTCGTATAGGGTTATCAATGGCATAATCGAACTGGCACGTCAAGAAAAAGCTAGGATTACACTAGCCGATATCCAATTTTGTTAAACCATGTGTGGCTTTAAGTCGGACGAAGGTTACACACATTACCTCAAGCCAGATCCACCCTACAAACTCATAGCTGACCTTCCTGACTCCAACAAAGGTGTTGGAGATGACTACCTGATTGCCTCGAACAATTGGAAATTTTCTCCTAAGAACAATCTTCATCTATTGCCTTTGCACCGATCGGTGTTTAGAGAGAATAAGGGTAAGAACTGAGTGCAAACTGTAATTCTTTGATGTCGCTGTATCTACCTCTCATATCTGTTCTAAAGCGCTCATTGTTTTTGTTTTTGCAGCTCTTCCTCAACCATCAAAGGACTTTTGCTAGACCACCTTCCCAAGCCCAGATCTGAAAAGGCTTTTGGGTTTGCCAATTAAGAAGCGCAAAGCCCAGCTGTTGTTTAACTATATCCCGACCTACAAGTTTACTCTGCCTGACATTCCCAAACAAAGCAAGACTCATCTATCTACCACAACTCCACCAGCCACTTCATTACTAAGGCCAAACCAAGCCTCTTCTTCAGATCCAATAGAGTAGGCATCCACCTCTGCCCCCCAACTTATTCCACCATCTCAACGCCAACGCATACGCCAAGCTCTACTAAACGCATCGGCCGGTAGGACTTGGAGCCACAAATGCCAAGAATTAGAGGCATCGGCTTACGATCCAGCTAATTCCCCAATTGCCCTTCCTGCAATCCACTTCGACACTAGAGTTACAGTAGCCGTAACCGTCGAAGAGATAGGTAGCAATAAAGTTGTTGTTGAAGACCTCTTGGCCGATTTGCCAAGAATTGTTACAGTTCAATCTTGTCCATTCAAGTCCCAGCCTAAGCCCAAGGCAAAGAGGGTGAAAAGGGCTAAGGCAAAAGCCTCTGCTACCCAACTAGATTTAGAAGATACCGTGCTGATCTCCAAATTGGCTGAAAATCGAGAAAAACACAATTTTCGCAAAGAAGAGGCCTACCAAGGCCGAGCCTTCCAACAAACCGCATTCTAAGAAGCGGAGGTCCAAAGGTTCAGTGGGGCCAAGTGCTTTCCAAGCCGACCAACCCTGGCCCCTCCAATCATGATTGGGGACCGACCAATGACTGTTGGAGACAGTGCAATTGACAACATTGAGCTTGGTGCCGCTCTTTCCATTGTTGTTCTCTTGCCTACTGACTTAAATCGTATGGTCGAGATCAATGAGTATGAAAACTTCACGTTGATGATGCAACACTCTGTTTTGGTAAGTCCCCAACACTTATACTTTTTATTTTGGCTTTATGTTTCAACTCCTTGCACTTAAGTAATTTTACTAATTTGTTTGTTTCTCTCCTTCTAGGCCATCTAGCATGCTCACTCTTTTGCAGTGAAGGTCAAGGCCTTCAAAAAGAAGTTGGTCCAAAAGACTTAAGACGTTGCTGGCTACCTTGCCTCCCTCAACAACGCCGAGGCCAAGATCAAGGCTCTGCTGGATCAGGCCAAAGCTACTAGACAAGCGCAAACCAGGCTGAGGAAAAGGCTGAGGCGGTGGAAGCTATGGTCGAGGTGCTCAGGGTTGAGGCCAAAAAGGCCGAGGTTAAAATTGCCAAGGTCGAGGCTGAGCTCCAAGAGGCCTTGGGACCAAGGAGGCTGAAATTAAGGTGACTGATGAAAAGGCCTACGTCGAAAGCCAAGCCGACATGGGTGATGCCTACAAAGACCAGGTCAATCAGCCTGCAATAGTACCTCGGCTAGACAATGGCGCTCAACTAGTTATCTGTCCCAATGGACTCCCCCCTCCGAGATATCAACCAATTCAGCGTGCCTTTTTTTCCCTTTCCAAAAGACTCTAAAGACGAAGCCGAAGAGGAAGACGCTGAGGCTGAAGATGTTGATAAAGAAGTGAAGGCTGCTGCTGGGGCCAAGTCCCCTACTTTGAATGATCAGTTCGTGGACTTGTCTCATGATGAGGAGGATGAGGTCTCCAAAAGCTCTTCGTTGAGGAAAACAACTGCCCTTAAGGCCGAGGTCACTGTTGCTGAGAAGAGCCTGGATCAAACTCTTCGAGAGATTGACGCCGAGGTCACAACTGAGGCCGAAGCCAAGAGGATGGAAGAAGATATCCCTTAGTCTAACACTTAGGATTTTTTCATTTTTCTTTGAACTTTTTCCTTTCAATAGCTATAATTTTCTATGTTTGTGAACAATGCTTGTTTTGTCGGGCCGAAGTGCCATCTTTTTGTAATCAAACAAGTTTCTTTTATGAATGCAAATCTTTTTTTTTTTTCTTCTAAGTGTTGGATACTTCCTTTATGTATGCTTAGTTCTTTGCTTCTGTGCCTTGCATGTTTTCCCATACTTAGAGTTTTTCCAAGTCTGATAACTTGGATCCTCATCTTGGGTCCCCATCCCTCAGATGAACTCATACCTCAGAGTAGAACATTCCAATCACCTCAAACAAAAACCTTTACAGTTTATCTCGGCCAAGCAACACTCAAAAATATTTTATTTTTACAAGTGTTGTCTCTTCAGTTGTACTTGTTGTCTTCTAGCAAGATTTCACCATTCCAAGTCTAGCAACTTGACTGGGTATAAGCTTACCTCAGATTCACTTATTTCAGCTAATACTTCTTGTCAATGAACTCGGATAAAATTTCACATGTGTTATGTTTTTATTCCCACTTTCCTGCCTTCTAATGTGAACCTAAGTGCCACATATGTTCACATTTAAGTATGCATCCCCAATTTTACCAAAGTCTAATTCAAACAATTTTTAGCCAAGGTGCTCTACCTCGGTGTCTTTGTTAATTTAACCACATTAAACTTAGCTCAACTCTGC